TATGTATACTCACTGGAATGTATCTCTGATACCTACATTTGAATATATACATATGAAGCATAGAGTTATAACGCTCGGTTTTACTTCGTCTAATCTTATAACGGTTGGTTTCCCACATTTACACGTACGCGACGTTAATTCACCTTAGACCAAATATCTAAACCAGATTCCCTCACAGTGTCTATTCTACAGTAGTTCAACACATCTCAGATCAAGAACACTTGATTAGCCTGACCACAACGTAAATATAATTCCACACCGAAACCCGACACAATTCAACAACAACAAACAATCAATAATAAGTGAGTAGTAATATAAACAATAATAAGGAAGGGGGAATATACAACTCATCTGACACCTGTCAGACTATCTACATGTCTGACTAAGCAGACAACCAACCATTATCATTCTCGTCCACACATCACATACTTTGGATAAGTTCCATGTATCTCTACTGCTGAAATCATTAATAGCTCATCGGAGCTTTTGGTTTAGATAAAGGCTTTCAAAAGTGATAGGAAAGTGTAGTGTATGGCACAATAACAATATGTCTGCACTACGTGGTGTCTAGGTCAAGTTGACCCTCCATACTACTAATATCATAATCCCTACACATATATATATATTCTCCCCAATGTCCAGTAGCACTGAATTTTCAATGCTCTTCTCTATCCAAATAATCATGGCACATCCTCATGCTGTTTGTCGAGATAACTGTAACTCTAAATGAAACAGTTGTTCACATTTAATATTACTTATATATAAATATTCTGAAAATAATAAACACGAGATTCACGCCAGTTTACAGGCATCATCAATTTGATATAGATAGTAACATTAGATATATAGAGAACAAACATGTGATATAAGATAGTTTTAAGGATTTTAGTTCAGTAATTGTTTAGGTAGTACATTACTACAATCTCCACAAAACCCATTCTGATACTAATCAACATATGCTCATTAGTGACTGGCTTCAAGATGTACATCTTGGAGTTCTAGTGAGAATCAGTAATCAGTGGAGTTCGACCGAGTCAGTTGTGAGATAGCAAATCACTGATGACAATGGTGATGTGTTGCTCAATTTTGTGGATTAGTTGAAGTTAGACATTAACATCGATGGATGCCGGCCGTCTCAGTGTTCTAATGGTTAAGCGCTCACTCGCGAGAGTAATAGGTTTTGGGTTTGAATCCCACGAGGCGGAGTCGTAGATGCGCGCTGCTGAGTAGTCCTACAACAGGACGAAACGGCCGTCCTGTGCTACCAGGTTTTCCATGGTGGTCTACCTTCAATCGACTTATGATCTCAACTATTGAGATTCTGATTATTACCCCGAAAAAGTCCAGATTAGTTTGTTGGACGAAACGTTGGAGTTATTTAAACTTAAATCGCTGAGATTGTTTCACAACATAATTTTCACTTAAAGTTACTTTTCTTCACCTGACGTCCAATTCTTGTCAAAACATTCTTTATTATATTGACGAATGTTCGTATAAAAAGAATAAGACATTCTATAAATTTTCAGAATAAAGCTGTAATGATATTTGCTGACAAATGAACGTCGAAGGAGCGATCAAAGAACACATTACACCGAGAAATGGAGACAACAATTGGATAGAACTAGAAAGGTAAGCCCACCACAGAGTGGATTGTGGAATGCTGATCTGTGATCAATGCCCCATTAGGAGTAACTGGCGTAAATAAGTAAGTCAACAATTGTATTCGGCTATCACGCTTTCAGTCGATCAAATTCAAATGGAAAATGTTTATTTACAAATCATAAAAGGAATGGGAAACAACAAATTTAAACAATGTTTAGAACTTTCTCAACACCAAGTCCCATATCACCCTTTACTGTTGTAAACAATCATGATTGCTTTGGATAACCATCCAATAATCCAACAAACAACAATATAATTCAGAATAACATTGCCAAGTGACAAACCTTGTGATTTGTATTGTAAGTAAGAATCTATTCATTTCATAATATCGTATGATAATTTCGCTTAAATCTTACGAGACATCAGGCCATGAAAGAAAATCTTCAGAATAATTATTCAAATGACCTTATTGAAAATCAGACTACCAATCGTCAGTCACATCCTACTTACTGTATTATACAATTATGAAATATATTTAGTCGATATTTTCACTCTCCCTCTCTCTCTCTCTCTCTCTCTCTAGATGTATGTATATATACATTGAATGCAACTGTCGACAACCATTTGTAACTAGTTGTAAACATGATACAGTCAAACGAACACATCACCATTTACTTTGCAGTAATGATCGGTAAGTTTAGTACTTTTAAATTGATAGTTGTTTCTTTTTATATAACTAAGATGTAGTGGTAACAGTTTTAGAAACTATTAATCTCGAGATAAGACTGTTTGTTCTAGTGAATATATATATTTATACATCTGAGCGAATGAATTCTGAAGTAAATCCAACGTGTTGCTTGGCAATCTGGTCCAAGATTTCTCTCCAATACAAATACATTCCTTCTCATTAATGTCTCACATCGAATCGGCGCCCAAATACGGTGAAACTATTCGATCAAATTTAGACAAAAGTGCTTATTTATTATTCCGCAATTGTATCAATTGATAACAGAATAGTTCGATAAAGGCACAGTGGTAATATGCATTACATCAATCTTACTCCTCTAAAACTCAGATATAATGCAAACTGATTGGTTAGTGATGTGTCATTGTTTACAACTTTGTGATCAGTAGATTATGAGTAGTAAGAGAACATCACTCATTTTTCTTTTGTGACAATGTGATTCGTTGACAAATATGGATAAAGATGGTATTTTATGACACATAATCAGTAGTAAGTGAACTATAAAAGTGCATATAGTGCAAAGCAGATTATATAACGATTTCCACAAATTCAATGAGTTCATCAATGATCATAATGGAGAGACATCCACTAGTATATTCATTGTGTATTTTAAATCAGGTGAGATTTGAATAATAAAATAAGCGATATTGAATTCGTAGAACGACCGTTCGATCCAGGGAATTGATATACATATATATATGACTATTGCATCAACATTGCTATTGCCATTGACAGCATTCATTCTAGTCAATCACTTGGAATTACACTCACTCGCTTATCACGATGGAGTAATCTAGGTGAAATGGTCAACGCATTGTGTGACTTCGATGTGAACATAGAGATCAGGTCATTTCTGTCGAACTCGAGTGTACTCACACCAACAGTATGGATCGCGAACGTTAATGATGTACATAGACTAGGGCTGTTTGTTGTGCAAAACTAAAATATATGTATATTGAATCAAGATACATCAGGCATTTCAATTAGGTTCAAGTTGTTACATGCGTTTCACAATGGAAATTCATATTAACATATCATATCGCATCATATTTCACTTCATGTTTTACCAAATTTGCTAGTATTCACGTCACTACACACGGGAAACGGACAATATAAACCTGCATATCTGCAAACAAATATGGTTGAAAGTGAGTGTGATTATTAGAATTATGAATAAACAACCAAGCATAATATTCCCGCTGTAAGCATTCGCTTCAATTCCCTCTAAATCATTACATTTCTGAAACGATCATTCCCTATTCCTATCATAATTCATTTTTGCTAGTGTCATGATAACGAAAGATGAGTGGAATTATTGTAGGTTGATTGTGACTGCACAAACGACAGTTTATTTCCCTAGTTAAACGAAAAATTCATCACAAGCTAAATTACTCGTGACATCACCGGACTAAATCATCACGTGTTTGAAAACACTGTTCAAATGACATGGACAGTGTGTGAATAAACTGCAAACCGATATAGATTCCTACTGACAGTTACATCTGGAAATGGAGAGTATTCGAAGATGAACTTACTACGTACAAGCAAATTAAGTTATATGAAAGCATTTTCAGAAAATTGGTGATCAGTATAACTAGACAGAAAACAATCCAATCCACAGAACAATAAATGTGTGCATTTCCAATGAATCGTCCTAAAGATAATTGATAATATAGTATCATCAGCAGCCGTATACTCTTGCATAAGCAGGATGGAAATTCATCAAACATCGTTAATTAAATGCGCGAATTATGCTGTATCTTATCATTAGTATTTTTCAAGCTCATTCAGATAATCAAGATAATAAGTGTATTCGAATACGCAAAGATATAGCATTGCGAAAACACATTTGAAATCAGACAAATCAGGTGAGGGATGAAGTGTCTTGATGCACGAATCTATCTAGTACACCTTTGAACAAGTGAAGTTGTTGACTTAGTTAGAGACATCGTGTTTGTTCTCACAGTTAATTGTGTCACTCAATGCCATTCGTTCACAAACGTGTGTGTATCTGTGCTGATCAGCATACATTTCTCAGTGAACATAAATATGTTACTCGTTGACTACTCGAACCAGTATTCGATGGCCACTGAAATCTGATGTGAATCTGCAACGTAGGTGATGGAGGAGAACTATGTTGAACCCAATTATTAATTCACAATGAAGTTGAGACGTGAGACGTTGTATCCCATGGATCATTATTCACTTCTTCACCATGACTGGTTTGTTTGTACACTAATCCACCTGTGCATTAAACTACAAACATCACACAAAATAGAATGATCTCCAGTTAGATTATTTTGTATTTAACTGAGTTCTCGTAAATATACATATTTGTATATATATAATCGAAATCTTAATTTGTGATGTGCATCGCAAGTTGCAGTAACTGATCCACCATCCATATGTTCATCTTGAACTTGTTCAATCAAAACTGTGCATTCTGCAAAACAGACGTCGTATTAAACTGCTCAATTGCTCACATAAGAGAAAATACTCAATCATTTTAGTCCACCATCAGTTTATAGAGTAAAGAAATTCGAGTGTCAGTGCCATCAATGTCATCACACTGGATAAACAGTCATACCTAATAAATTAATTGCACCCTTATCAAACTCTCAATTCCAAGTGTTTTCTCTTCATTTTCAAACAGACAATGCAGGTACAAATACTTTCCGCGTAATTCAAGAACAGACGACAGCCATGGCCTTCGAATGGGAAACAATGACTTACACAAATCTTGGTTATGTCTATTTGCTTCAAGACATACCCAATGGGTTTGATAGAACAGTGAAAGTATACGAAGGCAATATAGGTTTATTAGAAGCTATTGGCGAACCATGTGAACATTCAAAATATCGTGCCGAGGGCTACAACAATGACTTCTGGGCTTCTGAACTCGGCACCTTTCACATGACATACAAAAGAGGTGAGTTGTTTCTAATCTCTTACCTAACAATCACATTTCCAATCTCTGTTCCATCTTCATCACAATTATACAACATTCAAATTCCATATTGACATCTTTAGAGATCACACGTTCAGTGGAATGTTTGATTGCACTTCTTGTGATGAATGTCAATCTATGTATACGTTGTAACGAAGCCACGGTACTGCTCCGTTTGATATATTCACCATCAAATCACTGTGTTCATCAGCAGTGAAAATGTCACAGTGCATTCATTTTGTGCTCACATTCTTCCTTTCATTCCTTCCTAGTTCCGAGAATCAATAATGTTCGAATTCAGTTGAGGTCGAATCTGTATTCACACGTGAAGTGGGGAAGAGAAAGAACAGCCTGTGAACCAACTGATTCCATCATTATATTCAGAGGATATTCGAACCAACCACTAAAGATGTATACCATCACGAGCAACCAAATTGAGTACTATTCGGATGAATTCAAAACAGAAGAAGGAATGGAAGAAGTGTTCATTGTGTTCAACAAACATGGAAACCGTTTCTCTCTACCGACGATGGGTAACATTTTCTTTGTGTGTCTTATGCATTGCAAGATTTTTTCTGGCAAGCAATGTTGTGGAAGTAGAAAAATGTGTGCACATGTAGTGCAATCGCACATGTTTGTCAGTCGACAAATTTAAAAGGAATATCTACCAGAGTGGTTGTCTATGTTCACATCTGACTCACCCAAATGTAGTTCAGATGTGTGGTCCAAATAATGTTGTTTCTACGTCAAACAACAGTGCCTGCCATCACAGAAATATCGAAGTTATTCATAGTCACAGTTCACTGATCGGTGTAATCTAATCATAACGGTTGACATCATGATAATATATATCTAGAATAGAAGAGCTGGTCTGATTCACCCCAGTGTTGCTTTAGTTTTCCAGTTTCCCAATGTGATCAAGCAATGTGATCATGACAATTTGATGAAATCGGTAGGAAAACTCTTACTCACAATCGAGTTCACGTTTCTGACGTCGCTCAGTAATTGAACTCAGTTTTGAACATTTCTCCATGTAAATGTGTCTCATCTCAATACGCTGAGTGTTGTGCCATCATGACTAGAGTCATTTGATAGTCATCTACACCGATGACGTCATCATCACAATAATGATTAACGTGAATCATTGCAGACGTTCACAGACAAATAATAACCACTGGTCCACATGTCAATGTCGCACTGATTCTGGTCATCACAACACACGATACATGTAGAGTTAACCAAGACACCACATTGATAATTTATATATGGTGAGGTCATAGGAACTAAGCTGAGGAAATAGTACATTGAAATCTATCTCACGAGTAATCTGTTTCATTGAGCTCTCTTCAGCACAATTTTGTCAATTCAACATTCCATTCTCAACTAATAAACAAACTCTTTGTTTTCAAAATTCTCTCTTTCCTACCGCAATCCAAATCAATATGCCATGAATGTGAGTTTATTGATTATATTTTCAAACACAAGAAGATATTTTGTTCAGTTAATACTTTCCTCGATGTTCCATCAGTATAACTAGTATAACTAGTTCCTTCTCACCTACATACAGGATTACACTGAATCCCAACTGTGTTCTATGCATCAATGAATTGTGTTTGGAATGTAGGTTCAGCATGAAACCACATGGTGTTTGATGTTTGATGTTTGATGTTTGTAGAGAGACCAGATGAAACTGTCTCCAATTGAACTGTCTGAATATCGGTAAACATTTGAAGAGATTTGAGAATGACCAACGTCCCTTCCCGACTAGTCTGATTATGTTCAACCGAATTTTCAACATCACACACACCTACTCACCATATTGTTTTCATTGTTTTGTAGAATATGAAAGCCAAATGTAAGTTCATGTAACGTTTCTGTATGTATAACAGATCAATGTTTACTTCGCTTCTTCACTAATCTTAACATTTTGACTATGTAATAGATCACAGTTGCTGTCAGTCTAATCTTTTCAGAACATTCTCATTATTGATTTAGTCACCTTAACGAATCACCAACATAATCATATGTATTCATTGTTTTTATTTACCAGATAAAAAGCCAGTGTGGAAAGGGAACAAAGAACAATCAACAAAACAAACAAAACGTGAGATAAATACATAACGATTAATCCATTGTTCCCCATGTAAATCTGACTAGATTGTGAGAAGTTTCGGAGTATTTGTGAAAGTGGACATACTTCGAGGTTAATAATTAACATGCTGATAGAACAGTTATGAAATATTGAGACAAAATACACGTGACAATCTATGGGATTGATAAACACTAGAAAGTCACTCTCATCTCAGCATATGGTGATTAGATACTAAACGTAAAATTCAACTCACTTCATTGAAAATCTGTGCTGTGTAGATCGAAAATGAGGAGAATTCGCATAACTGTATTCAACGGTTTCCGTGGAACATCAGTCATCTGATCGCGTTCAACATTAAAACGTGTCATTCATCACACGTGTGTGTGTGTGTGCGCGTGCGTGCGTAGTGTTTGTTGAATGAATGTGACAGTGCTATTTGTGTATGCTGAATGGTGATATAAATAAACGTTGTCCCACTTCACATCAACATTCTAGTATGAATTGATCATTTGTGTATATTCTGTTGGTTGAGTCGTTCGTCAAAAAGTGATTCGGCTTTCTGTGTTTATTCGATTAATGTAGCATCTGTGAATTTCACGGTGAAAAATGAGGACATGACTAAGTTCACGACAGATGGAAATCTCACCTAACTCACTTTTCATCAGGCCTTCTCTTCCTATGATTAAGTGAATGTTTCTGCCTTGACCAATCCTTCTTTTGCATATGTTCTTGACGTTTTGCGTACTATATGCTACTTATATCGATGAAGTCGGAAATCGTGTGTTTTAATAACACCTTAAACATTCAACCGTTGAATTCCAAATATGTTTCGACTAACACACGATGATGTATTCTGTTTAGAACCATGAAATAAATTATCTCCTCTTATCAAATTATTGAACTGAATCTGTCATATTACACTTGTGTTTGTCTTTCAGTTACAGCATCGAATATTACAGTGTCATCATTTCTAGAAAATACAAGCACTGCATGTGAGTCAATCATCTCAGAATTCATTGTTCTTCCACATCTACACCAATCATTCTTTGCTCTCATTCTCTTCTCTTCGATCTTCTTAACATTCTACTGCCAATCATTTCACTTCCCATTGATCAGACATACTACCTTAATCTAGCGAAATCAGTAGCACAAACCACAATCCAACATTTTAACTCCAAATACGTCTCAATAGAAAATATTCGCTTTCCAATGAATAACACACGATGATGTATTCTGTTTAGAGCCATGAAGTAAATTATCTCCTCTTATCAAATTATTGAACTGAATCTGTCATATTACACTTGTGTTTATCTCTCATTTACAGCATCGAATACTACAGTGTCATCATTTCTAGAAAATACAAGCACTGCATGTGAGTCAATTATCTCAGAATTCATTGTTCTTCCACATCTACACCAATCATTCTTTGCTCTCATTCTCTTCTCTTCGATCTTCTTAACATTCTACTGCCAATCATTTCACTTCCCATTGATCAGACATACTACCTTAATCTAGCGAAATCAGTAGCACAAACCACAATTCAACATTTTAATTCCAAATACGTCTCAATAGAAAATATTCGCTTTCCAATGAATAACACACGATGATGTATTCTGTTTAGAACCATGAAATAAATTATCTCCTCTTATCAAATTATTGAACTGAATCTGTCATATTACACTTGTGTTTATCTCTCATTTACAGCATCGAATATTACAGTATCATCATTTCTAGAAAATATCAGTACTTCAAGTGAGTAGACGCTTCACTGTTAGTTCACAATTCATGTGCACAATAGTCAGTTGTAAATTTTCTCATACATCCAAACTGTTTGAACGTATTCGTACACATCGAATGCTACTCTCCACATATCAGTATTTTGAGAGATATCTCCTTTAATAAAGTCGATTGGCACAGTTCAAATCATATCCACAATGTGTACACTTGTTCAACACAATTATATAGACGACGTTCATTTGACTGATGTTTGATCATTTATGTCAATTCACATGTGTCAACTTTATACTGCATATCCACATGTAGTTCTATTCGTCTATATGTAGGTCACGAATTATCTCACATTCTCATGCAAAGTTCTAACTGATCGTTAATTCATTCTCAATTTGATAAATAAATTTGCATTCCTTGTTATTGATCTTTTCTTTCTCAGATGTCTTCATATCGATATTGATTCTGGTCATTTTCGTGGTCAGCATAGTTTTGTTCTTTCTAATGAAGATGTTATAACAACAATTGTGACGTGTATTTGTCTGTGTGAAATCTGTGTGTGTGTGTGAGTGTGTGCTGTGTGTATGTGTGTGCAATTCTGTCAAACTGTATAAAACTTTCGTTAAATTATTTTCAATAAAAAAATGATACTGTGGTTTATTCCTTTTCGGAACTCAACAACGACTCACTAATAAATATACAGGGACAATGAGTAGTCGAGTGAACAATCATCTTCAACAACTAGGTCATCATATGCTACATTCACAATTCCACAATTATCGTGTTATTTAACAAAGGTCAAACTAAGGCAACGAACTGTGAATCAGACCTTGTTTCATGTTTAAGGACACTTGTGTAATCATAATCGGTCATTATGCTTCTTTAACACTCATGAACAGTAGGGAAGTGCTCCTGCGTAATACGTCTTTAAATTATCTACTCCTCGTGAGTATCATCACAATTCATTCAGAACGCTTATCAGTAAGTAGAGCAGGAATGTAATTTAGGACTCGACTAATTACTGATTACGAATTCATCTTCTTACTTCTCTGTCTAAATGTTCACGCTACTGCTCACTGTAAACAATTACTTTACCACTATTCAACAATTATTCGACTGTTATGTTGATTACTAGTATTACTATGAAACGCGAATTTTCAATAGAAAGATGTAAACAACTATCAAAATTTAGTGCATCCATCAAATAACAGCAGCATTTATTTTAGGCTGTCGAATTCGAAGCATCCACGTGCTTATTGATGGTAAAATACAGTGAAAAGAACTATCTACAACTGCCAACTTGAACAAGTGAAACAATATTCCGTTATTTTCAAAATTACAACAAGTTCATTCAGTTGTACAACAATAATGGCACAGTGCTAAATCTAACTGTCTAAACAACAATTTTAAGTGTAAATGTCATCCACACTCTCGTCAGACATTC